CGATGATGAGTACCCTTCTAAACTTATTGTGATGTCATTTGTGGGAAAAAAGTTATTGCAACCAGGTGGCATTTGGAGGGCTAATCAAACAGATACTAAGTATAAAATACAAATTGCCGCCTTGGATGGCAATATCTCAATTCGCAAGTCCGTATAAAATTATATTGACTCACATTTCATTGAATGATGAATTATTTGAAGGGTTAATCTGAGCTAATAACTCAAGCTTTCAACTAATTCATGGATTTAAAATTATATCTATTTAATTGTTTATCTTTTTTGCAGTTAGCTTATATCTCCAGGACTCCATGAGTGCAGGCAGGCAGGCACAACTTCACAAGACTTCAACTAGTCAAGGAGTTCAAAATTTTTTTAAATTGTAATATTCGTTTGAATTATCTGTAAATTGTAATTATTTGTTTAATTTATTTGTTAGTTTAATATTTTGTATAATTTGTATATTGTAATTAGCAAATTGCTTCTAATTCATAAATAAAAAATTTTTTCATGCAATTTTTTGTTTAACTGTGTTGATGTTTTATTTTTTTTTGAGATATTAATGAAAATTACTCGGGTTAGCGGGTCAATCCGGGTTAACCCGAACCCGACTCGGGTCGGGTTCGGGTCTTGAATAGTGACCCGTATCCAAAACCGGGTCGGGTTCGGGTCAACCCGTTTAGCTTCGGGTCATTTCGGGTTAGACACGAACCCGACCCGTGACCCGAAATTGACACCCCTACTCTACTCCTACCTATAAATAGAGGGTCACACGACAAGCCTATGAACACATAATAATTTATTAATTTCAACATCTCTACTTTCAAGCAATGAAATGTAAGAGCTTCTCTCATATTCTCTCCCCTTTCTCTTTCTAATTCTCTATTTTTCTTACTCCATATTGACGTAAGATTTGAGTATTGACTATGAACAAATTTGGATTCAATATTAATCTTACAATTATTTCGGATAAATACTTTAGAAGATATTTATGTAATTACATGTAAAGGTTATTTATGTATGAAAAATGGGAAATTTTATTAAAATAAAGATTAAAAATTTTTAGAATATTTTGATAAAAATAATATTAGAAAAAAAATTAAAAATATTAAATTTAATTTGAAATGAGTACAATTTTTTGATATAAAATAGTAATCTTAAAATAAACTAATTAATAATTTTAAATTCATCTTAAAGTAATTTATATCAAATTAAAATATTTATTCAAAGATATTGCTTCATGTTTATGCTTAATGAATTCATATCACTTATTATTATTATTATTATTATTATTTAAGCTTAAGAAGATGATGAATCGACACAATTTTGAATTTATTTAATTAATTATTGGGGTGAAGTTCAACTTAGCATGCATTAGAAAGTTCTAGTAGTCAATGACTTAACCACACGTAGCGTAGGTCAATCAATTGGTGTCAATAATATAATATTTTGGAGAAGTATGATATAGATGTGATGATGTAACCCTTTTCATAGGGAGCTAAAGATTTGTCATAAAGGCCATCTCCAATCGAACGCCAAAGCGTTTGGCATCATTACCTCGCTCCAGCCGAAAGCCAAAACGTCCGCCATTTGCTTGCGGGTGAACAGTGCAACGTCAATATTGGCGTTGCACTGTTCACCCACGCTATTTTCCTCTCTCAACCGGAAAAACGCGCGAAAGGAGAATAATCGTTACTTTCGCGCAGAAGCAAGAAAATGGCGTTCGATTGGAACAGCACCACGCCATTTTTGCGTTTTGCGGTATTTTGGCGTGAAAAATGGAGTTCTCCGTTGGAGATGCCCTAAGAGTTGTGAACTTAGGCAACTTCTATGTCCCATAAACATGAGCGGGATTTTAAGGCATCAACAATTCAACGTTCGTTTGTTTAAACAAAAAGTCCACCCAAATGAAAAATATAAATACTTTTTTTAAAAAAAAATTTATTTTAGCTGTAAACAGTGCGACGTCAATATAGTACGACGATAATATTAACGTCACAATATTCAAAATGTCATTCGTCTGTCACACTATTCAGAGCAGACATGAGAAAAAGTATACACATAATTTTTTTTTTTTTTGTTAGAAATGGAGTTCGGTTGGAGATGGACTACTTTTTTATATGATTGTTGCATTTTGGAGTGAAAATAGGTCTTTTTGGGTGGAGATACTTTGAGGGATTTGGCGAATTGAATGAGAGAGAAAAATTGTCAAAATTGTGTGAGATTTTTTTTTTTGCAATGTTTGGGGGAAGTTTTTTTTAATGAATTTTAGAAAGAAAATGTTGAAAAATTGAAATAAAATAAAAAGAAGCAAAATGCATCGGGTGCTAGTCACCTTGCTCGACAAGCGTGTTAAAGTTTGATCTAGGTTTTGCCGGCACTAAGAACGAGAAATACCGAGCAAATATCGAGCAATACCGCTCTGTGAAGACCAATACCGAGCAATACCGAGTAATCCCAAAAAATACCGAGTTTTTCTAGAAAAAACTCGGTATTTTTTGGGATTACTCGGTATTGCTCGGTATTACTCGGTATTAGTCTTCACAGAGCGGTATTCCTTGTTATTACCAAACAATACCGACCAAATACTGAGCAAAAATCGAGTAACATTCTACGTTCGGTCAGAGGACGTAATAAAAGTTCGATTGTACATAATATTTTTTTCTAAAATTTTAATTTTATGTTCCAAATTTTCAAGAGCTACATTCCTTTGGGACTTGCATATTTTAATATTGAAAAATAAAGAACTCTCACAAAATTTTACTTTTTAGTAGTTTATGCATGTCATCACTAATAAAGCTAATGACCACCATTGACAATATTTGTTATATTAATCATCATCAATAAGGTTGAAGCCCACCATCGCTATTAAGGTTGACTCATATCACAACCTCGAATCTTATCATTGTGAATAGCCTCAATATACATCATCACCATGGTTGACAAATTGTGGAAATCAAGGGGACACCCCATCTTTAACACCCATACTTATGTTCTATATTTTAAAAAAAAATATTTGCTCCTTTCATTACGAACAAAGTCAACATAACATTGTCACCATAATGTTGATATCTACCATTGCTACCCTTGAGGACACATA